GGAAGACTGGGTACGTGTGGAGGTGTGCTGGGATCTCTATAGTATAGGACGGTCCATCCTCTCCGCCTTTGACTTCTAATATCGGCCACGGTCCTCTATAGGCAGGCAGTAACTTCTGCGAGATGTGCTCCTCAGGTGCAAACTCTTTAGACTTGACCCAGACTAAGTCGCCTACTTGAAACTGTGAGGGGCGACGATGCTTATTAGCCTGTTCTATCATTCTATGCTGGGCCTTTCTGAGGTTCTCAACAACAGTTGCTAACTCTTTCTCATGCTGCACAGCAAACTTCCTGGTTCCGGGCGGCAATCTGTGAATCTGATCCCGGTTCAGTCCTTCAAACGGTCTACGCGGCCTAAAGGATTTATGCAGTTCGTTGGGAGTGCGGCAGGTGGACAGATGCACGCTGTTGTTGTACGCACTAGCTACTTTCGGCAACATCTCATCCCAATTAATCTGGTCTGGTCTAATGTACATGCGCAGAACTTGCTGTAGGATCTTGTTCATCTGCTCAGTCTGACCGTTAGTCTCTGGATGACGGCCAGATGACATTAACAACTTCGATCCGTACACTCTCATGAATTCTTGCCAGTTCTGGCTGGTGAATCTACTATCTCTATCACTAACTATTGACAATGGGATACCATTCTCACTAACCCAATGGTCGAAAAACTTTTGGATAACTAATTCTGTGCGTGCCTCTGAAGGCAAAGGAACGAAAACGGCGTATTTGCTAAAGCCGTCCACTACGACCATGATTTCGCTCTTACCATGTCTACTCTTGACTTGAGTGTCCATGAAGTCTATGGACACTGAGTCTCCCGGCTGATCCGGAATAGGCAAGGGTATGAGAAGACCTAGGGGCGCGCGTGTAGTAGACTTATTCCTCTGGCACACTTTACAACTGCGGACATACTTTATGCAGTCATTCTTCATTCCGGGCCAGGTATACGCGCGCATTAAATTGGCTAATGTCTTTTGCCAACCGAAGTGACCCTCAGTATCGTGACATTCCCCTAGGATCAGACTACGAATCTCCTCGCTGTTGGGAACGCACAGGCGGTCAATTACATTAGTTTTCTCAAACAGCGACCCATCTGTAGTGCGGTAATCCGGTTCAGTCTCTGGAGCCTCTCTAACTCTCTTTAGGAGGTCGCTATAGATAGGGTCCTGCGCATACGCTTGCTTCACTTTCTCCTGTAGGTCCTTCCCTATATCCAGATAGTGTACTACAGCTCCAAAGTAGTCTGATCTCCTACTTAGAGCATCCGCAACTACGTTATACTTGCCCTTCACTGGCTTGAGCTCAAAGTCGAATTGGTCTATCTCTGCGGCCCACCTGGTCAACTTAAGTGTCATCTTGGCCTGGGTCTGCAACCATCTAAGCGTTTCATGGTCCGAATAGACTTTGAAGTGCCTCCCAAGCAGGTAGTGCTTCCAATGGTCTAAAGCCTGCCTGAAAGCGTAGAGTTCTCTCTCGTACGTGGAGGTAGCDACCTTCTCACAGGGCATCCTCGCAGACATGAACTCTACGGGTCTATAGCCATTGTCGTCATCTTGTTGCAACACGGCGCCTATCCCATACTGACTCGCGTCCGTGGTGACGACAAATGGCAAGGACGGATCTGCACCCTTGAGGACAGGATACTCTATTAACGCGCGCTTTAACTTCTTGAGCGCAGACATACAATCTTTATCCCATTGCCAAATTGTTTCTTTCTTCAACAACCTGCGCAAGGGAGCGGCGATAGTGGAGAAGTTCCTCACGAACTTCCTGTAGTAGTTAGCTAGGCCTAGGAATGACCGCAATTCTGTCAATGTGCGGGGCGACGGCCAATCTCTAATCGCCGCTATCTTGCTGTTCTCTGGCTTGATGCCATCCGTCTAATACGTGGCCCAAGTACAGGACTTGTGTCTTGGCCCACTCGCACTTCTTCGCGTTGATCTTGAAGTTAGCCTCTCTAAGCTTCCCCAAGACCTGCCTCAGATGGCCCTGATGCTCCCGGAGGGTCTTGCTAAAAACTAAGATGTCATCTAGATAAACTACTACGAACTTATCTAACCACGGTCTGAACAGGTCATTTATACAACGTTGGAAGGTAGCTGGCGCGTTGGTTAGTCCAAAGGGCATCACTATGAACTCATAGTGCCCGTATCTAGTCCGGAACGCAGTCTTGTACTGATCATCAGGATGAACCTCTATCTGATGGTATCCGGACTTTAAGTCTATCTTAGAGAAATATTTACAACCCTGCACCCGATCTAGAAGATCATCTATTATGGGCAGCGGCTCAACATTCTTCACTGTGATCGCATTCAACCCTCTATAGTCTATAGACATACGAAGTTCTCCTTCCCTCTTTGGGACAAACAAAACTGGTGCTCCAAAAGGAGACGAACTGGGCCTGATCCAACCCTTCTCAAGGAGGTCGTCCAACTGTTTGCGAAACTCTTCTAACTCTCTAGGGGACATCCTGTAGACTGCACCCTTAGGAGTTCTACTACCAGGCTCTATCTCTATCTTGTGCTGGATGGGTCGCGACACTACTCCTGTCGGCGACTCAGTCAAATCTTTGAACTCTTCCACCAGCTTGGCAATTGTTGGATCTGTGGAACTATCCTTTTCCTGGCCCTCAGTGACAGGTTTAACATACACCACAAAGACCTGTTCCTCTAACTGCTCCTTTCTTACTAATCGCGCGAACTCGGGAGCACTCAGACACCAATGTGCCAAGGTGTTATCTACACCGGACGCATGGAACAGGCGAGCAGTCTTCACTTCGCCTGACGGACTAGGGAGCCTACACTCATGCTCTCTCAGATGGAGTGTGGCCCCTGCTGCCTCTCCCCAATCCATTCCTAACACTACATCGAAAGGAAGGTCATCTTGTACGAGGAGAGTCAGGGAATGGAAAACTTTCTCCACCTTCCCATCCTTCTCTAAGCGAAAGTACGCCTGGACTCCCTCTACATAGTCCTCAACGCGCATCGTGCGGTTGTCTGCGAGAACACTGACTATAGGGTCTATTAACTTCTGGACCTTTAGTCCTAGCCTCAGCTTCTTCAGCGCCCTACGACTGATATAACTACGGGTAGCCCCTGAGTCTATAAGTGCCCCTACCCTACTCCTAAACACCTCTACATCTACTAAAATCAGCTGTCCTCTACTCTCCTTCTTCATTTTGGCCCAGGCTGGCATCCTCTCCTTTAATTCTTCTGCCACACCTGTGAGGGACGTGCCGAAAGAGACGCTTACACAGGCGATCTCTGGACAACTATCTAGGCACGGGCCTGCAACCTCTGCCATAGGCTCATGTGGGTTGGGAGTGTCCTGTTCGCGCGCGCTCACTTCTCCACATGGCCTTGAAGTAGGGGCAGTTGCAACCCCTACTGGCGGCTGCCTTTTGACTGTTGAGCAGCCCAACGGGCCTGTCTATACTTTGGACAAAATTTGACAATGTGCGCCGGGTCACCACAGAATACGCATTGACCCATGTTCACACGCTCCTGCCATAATTGCCGGTCGAAGCCCAAGTCTTCCCAGGGCCTGCCCTGCGGCAAGCCTGGATGCCATCCTCCTTGAGGTGCCCTTCCACCTCCTCGCTGTGGGGACCGGTTACCTTGGCGATTTAACGGGGGACCTTGACCCCTACCTCCCGCTTGGCGGTTTCCTTGTCCGCCAACCCCCTGCGCGCTCGGTCCTCGGCCTCCCATGGCCTGGCCCCTTTGGCCCTGGCCTCCTCCTTTACCTTGCGGCCTCCCTCCGGCCGCGACAGCAGCGTAAGACCTCCCCTGCCCTACACAACTGTACTCCTCCCCTAGGCCCCACTCAATCTGATCATATGGGACCTCTTCTGTACCACCCTCCTCTAATGTCAGGATCAAGTGATCCTTGGCCTTGACTTGGCCCGAGATGGTACGATCTTTCCACTTCTTCCCTTTCTCTAGGTCCTTGTGCCAAAAAGTGGTAACTGGCATAGACTTCGACTCATTCAGGACGACTTCTCGACTCAATACATCGTAAGTCATGCCGGCCTGCTGAGATTTGTCAAAGAAATGCCAGCGTAGGGCCTCCGGAATGGCACGATAAAACAGCTGGACCAGTTGGGGCTCAGTGACCCCGTGGTCCGGGACGGCTACCAAGTCGTCCATAGTACCCTTGAGTGCCTTAGCACTCCTCCACTGCCGGGAGTGGATCGTTTGAAGCTTATCAGAGGCTCTAATGCCTCGTGTTGGGTCAACAAACCGCTCTTTAAGGAGCTTGAGGAATTGGGAAAGAGGAGTGACTTTAGAGTAAGCCACCAGGTTGTTTTCACAACCGGCCGTACGCGCAAGAGATCGAGCGAAATTAGCCGCTTCGTCTTTGAGGGCCTGAAAGGCCACAAGGACTTGCTCCTCTGTTAGGATATGTTGCAAGTAAATATAGCTGTTGACACTGGCCTCCCAGTTGTCAAAGTTCTCCTCCTTCTTTCCCCCGTACGCGTCTGGGAACTTGAGCTTTACAGGCTCTTTACGGGGTCTACCCTCGCCCTCTGCAGCAGCTATAGCTTTGGCACCCTCAATGGCGCCTTCACAGTACTTCCCTACGTTGTCCCTCAACTGTTTTACTTCGCCCCCAATGTGGGTGACGATCTCGCGCGCAAACTCTCTAAATCCTTACCGCATGGCACTCAACGCTACATCGTGACTCCAACTAGCCTGGCGCTCCTCCATCCAGGCCTTACTCAACACTTCTAGGTAGCCCAGTACTTTGTCCCATTTGGCCTTATCATCTGGCTGGGCCAATACCTCCGCTCTACACTCTTGCACTTTTGCCACTGCTGCGGTCATCTTGTTCACCTCTTCTCTCCTCCTCCTCTTCTCCCTCTTCATCCTCAACTTCCATTGCAACTTTTGCTCGTCTTCCCTCTTTCTTCGTTCCATAGGGTCTGTCATGGTTGCCAACTCAGCGGCCAGCGCAGCCTTCTCATCTTCAGTTTCATATGACTCCGCTGCTTCATCTTCCCCCAACGATAAGTTAGCAACCCACTCGCTGATCTTTTTCTCAATCTCAGCGTCGATGTCCTTCTTCGTGCCACTGCTCCCTTCCCTGCTTTCAATCCTCATCCTTTATTTTTCCTCTTCTGCCGCCGCTTCTTCTTCAGCAGCCTTCTCTTTCTTCTTCATCTCCTCCTCCACTTCCTTCATCTTTGCCGCCCGCTCGTCTGTGATAGCCTGAAGCTTCGCTTGCTTCTCACGTTCTTTTCTCTCCCTGTTCTCTTTAACTAAGGCGGCCATCTTTTCTTGCTGCTCCTTACTATAGGGGTTAGTCTCTAACCCAGTACGGGTCTCAACCATGGTGATAAGTGTACAACCGGGTTAGTGGTTCCAAACCTCACCACGTAGACTCTGACCCCTGACTGACAAACCTATTGACTCAATCTAACGACTCACAGAATCCTGACAGGGATCCTGTCAACTATGGTCTCTAGCCTAGACCTATGCTATGGCTGTCACTACTGAACCAGTGGCTGATCAKGAGGCATTTAAGGAGATCCCCCGTAACTCCTCAAGAATTCTTTAACGTCGCAGACAGGACGACGTGATCAGCTTGGTTCTGCCTGTGCTTTCAGCCCACAACTCAGCCGTTCCGGCCTATTGTGCCACATCGAGCAGCCCGCCGGTCTGTACCGGTCCTTGGGAGGGTTCGTATCCCCCGGGACAGTCGAGTCGTCAGACACAGATCATCAGCCTTACTTGGTCTGGTAGGGGAGTGGTTCCAACAGGCCCTCAACACTTAAAGACGGCCTCCGTTTTAGCCTGCAGCTCAGAGTTCGGACCCTCTACACTGGAACTGAGCAGACCTGCCGGACAGTACCGGTCATTGGGCTAGACGAGTTGTTTAACGAGCGCTCGCCGCTCATGCCCAGGTCTCCAGATTCCAGAGTAGAGATTAGTCCTACTAAGTCCCGTGCAGGTTTGGCAGCAAGGCCCTATCCTTCATCCACAGAGTTCTATGACCTAGGACAGAAGAGACTCAATGCAGAAAGAATAGACAGACAGACTGTACTCAGCAAGTACCAAGGGGTATGTGCACATCCATAGGGCAAGGGGCAGGCTAAGGGCTTGGCGAGATGTTACCAACTTCAGCTTGGTCAAAGTCTTGGTCAACGCCTTGGTCAACTGCCTTGGTCAACGCCGGTCAACGCTGCTATGACCCTCGGTCAACTTCGGTCAACTCCGGTCAACGCCGCCGGTCAACCCTCTCGGTCAACTCCCCGGTCAGCTATGGCTGCCGGCACTTCTTCCTCGCCAATCCCCTTCTTCTTCCTTACCTCCCTCGCCGCCTTTCCCCCGCTGTCTTCTTCTTTCTCTCTCTTTTCGTCACTCCGTGGTACCGGCTCTGCGGCTATGGCCGCTGTCTTTCTTCTTCGTGGACTGCGCAGCAACTTCACAGGTACGTAACAGCCAATCTTGTATCGCTCATCTCTCTCTCTCTCTCTCTCTCTCTCTCTCTCTCTCTCTCTCTCTCTC